GAACCATAAGTCATCGTGGGCATTGAAGTCACCCAAGATGAGTTTCGAATCATCCGTTAACATGTGGGCTATTGATGGACTGAAGTTGGTGTCACAGCTGCTTTGTGGAGGAATGTATAAGTTATGAATAGTCAGAATGGACGGTCCAATGGTAACTTGCACGTTGAGCTCTTCAAAAGGAGAGTCCGCGGAGGTTGCTGTGGAGGTCAGCGTTACGAGCTCTATCTCTTGGAATGACGGCAAAGCCCGGGAAGCGTGGAACCTTCGACTTTGCTGATAGCTTTGTCTCCTGGAGAGCCGCTATTTATGTCGTGATCGTGGAAGAGTTTAATGATTTCATCTGTTTTCCCAGAAAGGCCATGGCAATTCAGCTGTAGTATTTGGAGGTCAGACAGTGGTGAGGCGTCTGGAAAGGCCAGCGACATAAGCGGCGGCGGGACTGAGGGTTGCTGTGAAACAGATTGAGTCGTGGAGGACCGCGGCATAGGCGGTGGTGGCAGTGAGGGTAGTTGCGAGGCTGGGATCATGGACAATGACATTAGAGGTGGCAGTAATTGGGTTGATTGCCGACTTCCTAGAGGTGATGATGAGGCAGGTGGAGGTAGCACTCGTACAGGCGTGTGAGCAGGCACATTTCGTGGATGACGACAGGTTATGCACCTGTATGATGAGCCGCTGTATTGATGGATGGAAGTGAGATCAGAGCAATTAGTGCCTCTTGAGCGGAAGTGTTGCCGGTTGTTGCAAGGCACAAACAGGACACAGGCTTGGTTCGAGAAGATCTGTTTGGCGCACGTGGAACAGAACCATCTGATAGATCCTTGAGCAGGTCCCGGATTGGGCTCGATGCCAGCAATAAGAAGGATTCGGATCAACCTCGCCGGATGAGGAAGATCCACTCTCGAAAAAAAGATATAATCATGTATACTGGCAAAGTTTGGTAAGGGGGGTAAGGGAAGTGCAGCTCTTTGCTGTAGCCCATCCGGAGATGGGTACAGTCGGTTCCACCAACGAGAAGGCTTTCTGCGTATGGGAAACGGGGTCGAATTGAAGGCAGTAAAACTGAGCTCGTGAGGCGAACGACGAAGAAAGCACCCAGACTACGTCAGTCGACTTTCGTGTGGGGAGGGGAGGAGGAGGGCTTGTGATACGTTCACGCTGTTGTCGCAACGAGTATTGACTGTCGGTTTACTCCACAGTAAAGGTAGTCCTTAAGCAGTAGGGCTAAATACCTTCACTTTCTGCTAATGTTCCACAAGCACAGCCCAGCATTCACAACCGGGCGGATGTGCAGTACAGGTGGACGTCCGTGGCGATAAAGATGTCAAGTCGGGCCCATGTACACTTTGTAAGACATAAAACTCGGCAAATAGCATTGAGTAGGGAACAGTGTCGTTTTTACTCTGACTATACGGCAGCAGCGTTGTGCTGAGCTCTTCAATAAGACAACAATTTTTCTCGAGATGCACCTTTTCCTGGTCAGGAATACAGCTTGAAAATACGATTATCTTCCCACTGTTTATGGTTAAACCGGCCGAGTGAGCAACCTCAATCACCCGTTATGTCATAGACTGTAGATCTTCGAAGCGTAAAACTATAGGTGCAATATCGTTATCGTAGTCGAGATCTGTCGGCGGGCGCCGGGTTGCAAACTCAATAAG